TGGGCTTTTCCCTTGCCTAACCCCCTTCCAAGACACTGTGCCTAATTGTGTGTTTATAATTTTGTCTGCAAAAGAGCGCCACCCCCAAATTATGTAAGCTTCAGGTCCCACAGGAAGTGGATCCCCCTCACTCTGGCCCTCCTGTTTAGCTCATTTGTCTCCCTGAATCAGCTCTTACCCTTTACAATCCAGCCCACAGGGTGTTCTTTTAAAATGATCTATCAGATCTCCTCACTTCCCATCGTTAAAGGTAAATATCTCACTACAATCTAGAAAGCCCTGCATAAACGGGGAGCACCCTTCCTTTTACTCATTCTATACCTCTCTCGCATTCATCCGCTCTGCACCAGCCTCATCTGTTTCCTCACCTTTACTAGGTGTCTACTTTAGGGCTGCTTTCCATGAACTACCTGTTCCCTCATGTCCTTACAGCTGACCTCTTCATGCCATTGTGGTCATATTCTAAATATTCCCTACTCAGAGAGACCCAGCCTGAACAGCTCATCCAATGTGTTGCATAATAACACTCAATATTTTCTTACTTCATCTATTATTTTCTGTCCTTCCCCACCAGACATGTGTCTCTATCTTGACTACTGGCACCTAGAACTTTGGAAGAGACTAGGTGCACCAGAAATATTTTTAAATTAATTAGACAACAAATAAACAGCATGGGAAGTCAATTAGTATTTGTTGAAATACTTTGAAGTGTCGTTAGAGCACATTAAACAAAATCAAAACTATCAGTAAGAATATATTTCCCTGACAAATTTCATGGCCTGAGTATGGAGGCTTTTGTTCAAAATATTATCTTAATCCCACACCAACACTTATCATTTTACGGACAGTTACCTAGAACAGAATATGGAAAAGAAGTGAAACAAGGGGGAAAGAATAGTATTCAGTACAAACCTTTACTATCTCAAAAGGGAAACGTTCATGGAAAATGCGGTTGATCTTAGCACCCCCTGAGAGCTCCAGGGTGTCCACCTGATCCCCTGACCCCTCTATCCTCTTCTCAAAGTCCACGGCAAATTGCTGAACCATTCTATAGTTGTGAAAGAGAAATAAATTCCAGTTAGAATTACAAGCTTTGCATTTCTCATGTTAATTTACTATGGTTATCCCTGAGAACCCTTTTTCTGATGTTTTTAGTGGCACCTACTGGCAGAACTAAAATTGCAGTCTAGTCAACACTGAAAATGTAATTACATCAAACACATGTTATTAAGGTTTATTTTAGACAATTAAAAATACATTTAAATGTGTCATTAAATGTATATGTATTCTTAAATGCATTTAGTTGCAAACATAAAATGGTATTTTAAAACACTTAACTTAGGAACTAAAGTTAAACAATGAAACTTTACATGGAAGAGTCAAAATGAACCACACTTCCATGACGTCACACTCACCTAGGGCTACAACTGCTCCAGCTACATATCCTCTGGCTTCATGAGCTACTCTCTTCCCTGTCCCCAGCATCACAAACCTTTCTCTGCCAGAACCACGCAAATCTGTGACCCTCATGCCCCTCTACAGCTAGCTCCAGCCTTGTTTTTCAAAGGCTAGATAATAAAATTAAAACTCCTTAACCCATCAGCCAAGATCCACCATGGTCTGCCCCGGATGCCCAGCTCTTGCTACTACTCCATACTCACCTTCCAAGACAACAGTAGGGCAGTTATTTACAGATACCTCCATGCACCATGTCTCTGGGCTCCTACACTTGTCTTCACATCTGCTCAGTATACTATTTTCTCTGCCCCTTGCTTCTTTGCCTGACTAATTTACATCTGTCCTTCAAGACTCAGTTCAAGCATCAGTTTTTCCAGGAAACATTCCATGGACCACGGCTCTTCCCACCACCACTCCTGACTGACTACCACCCAGATGAAGGCCATCCTCTACTCTCCCAGCACGTTTCCACCACACCGCTAAACACAGTGCATCACACTGCTTGTCTATTAGTCTCTGTCCTCAGGGCCAGGGCCATGTGTTTTATTTAACTCCCCCTGCTCAATATATGAGAGGTATTCAAGTAAGTTCAGTGAAGGAATGAATTACCTTAAGGCGATTACTAAGAAAAATTACTAAGACATATAGGGAAAAAATAACTGCTTCCACTTGTGGTTACCAAGTTTAGAAACTAATTCTGACATACTGGAACTACTTTCAAATTCAAAATCTAAGAGGAAAAAATTCAAACCATCCAAAACTTGCAGGTTTTATTCTCTTTCATCAAACTCTTAAATGAATTAAAAGTAACTGCATATTATTTAGGCCAGAAAATCTAGAAAATAATTGGATGTAGCTAGGTTTATGCATATGTTGATGTTAATCTAACATGGAAACATCTGAAAATATGCACTGATCCTGGGAAATTTTAGAAAATTTGCCTCCAGCCACTCCTTTCCCCACACCCTACACACCAGCCACCCAGCCCACTAGAACAAGCTGTACCAACATTCACACTATTCTTTACTTTCCTTCTTCCACCTGAAAAACTCCTCCCATACTTCAGGGTCTGATTCAAGTATCTTATTCTCTGTGCACTCACACCCTTGCTCACATGTAATGGCTCCCTCATCTGGGCTTAACATTTTATAATTAACAATAACAGCATCTGTCAGACTTTAACACAGTTGGTTGCCTATATATATATAGGCATATATATATATATGCCTCTGTTTCCCCTGCTCTACTGTGGCCTCTTCTTGAGGCCAAAACTTTTCACCGTTGACTCTTCAGTATATAGCACAGGACCAGACAGCAAGCAGAATACACAAAATGATGAGAGGAAGGCAAGAATGCAGGCAGGCAGAAAGGGAGGGAGGGAGGGAGAGAAAGAGGGAAGGAGGAAGAAGCTGATTGGCCCCCTAAAGGGAAGAGTCTAGATGTGAGAAATTCTCTAATCTGAGTCTAGTAGAGTCACAAAGGCAAGACCCAATCTTTGAAAGGATTATAGTTTCAGATGTATGTTAAGAGGATGACCTAAGGCTTAAACAGAAATAGCTTTCCTTTCTCTGTAAAGGGAAGAGTTTTTATAGGACCTTAAATCAAAGGAGAGAATACAAAGGAAAGGTAACCGAGGAGAGTTGAATCCAAAAAAAAAAAAAATTTCCTCTGTATGATCTTAGGGTATTTTTAAATGGGGGAACATTAGATGATGTATTTAAGATGTTACTTAAATAATGTGACCATTTAGAATCTCCCTATAAAAAATGAATTACATTGTATCTTTTATATGCCAAATTAAGGATATTTTGATTGCAAGACTGCAGAAGGAAAAGGGGGCCCTAAGAGGTGGCAAGCATTATCTTTGGAGATAGACTTCAGATGTTCTGGAATGCAAGTTGGGCAGGGGTCTTCTGGTTGAGAGGACCTGAGGCAAGTTGCAGCACAGGCATAAAAGGGTAGATGAGGCCGGAAGGGGCCAAAAAAAGGAAATAAAGGTAAAAGATATAAGGAGCTGGTAATTCTCTAACAACTCGCTATCCTTCCCAAAACCCTCAGGGATAAACCTCATAACCCAAGGATAAAATGGGAAGATCATGAAGAGTAAAGAAACCTGGCGGTTCTCATGTTTGTGTTTTTAAAGGGATACCTTAAAATTATTACCAAGAAGGAAAAAGAAATTTATAAATGTGGCCTTATTGTCTATATTTTATCATCAAATCATTGGTTCTCATTCCACTGAAAAATGCATACAGATCATAAGAAATGATTGAAATAAAGAGATAACAAGTACAAATGACACCAGTAGTTACAGTCGACATACATACATACAATACAGATGACATTTTCAACAGGAGCTTTGCCCACTTATAAAGACAAAGCATAAAATTCCATGCTGTGTTATCACTACTGGTTTTACTCACTTATTGAATCCAACTATAAAAGCACAATGGAATTGGGCATGGGGTTGGACAATTGGTTAAACTTATAATAACAGAATTAGATCAACAGTTATTCCTTAAGATGTAAAGGTTCAAGGCTCATTGTGTAACATAGACAAAGCCTCATATACTTTACTTGCTTCTGTTAAACCTAGAAAATGACATCACAGACTAAGGCAAAAGCAAACTGAAGAAATTAGTTTAAAATTGAAGAAGGGAAGGAAAAGGTACTCACTGCAGCAAAGCTTTGGTCTTCCTGGTGGGGTCTTCCGGCTTGAAGTTTTTGTAGGCTTCCACTTCGTGTTCTATGGAGAGCAACTGTCCCTGTAGCTTGTTCCTGAAGTTTGGGAGGGTATCTCGAATGTGGTTGGTAAGTTGCTAAATTAAACAAAACAAAATCATACATGTGATATAACAGATAAATATGAGACAAAAATCAGCCTTTGCTGTTCTCCTAATCATTCAAAGCTTTAGAAATGAGATGCACACTTGAGATGGACTGTGTAGGGGGGCAGAGAGAAGGACTGTCTCCTCCATGGCCCTAAAAAGCCATGCTTAAAATCCCTGCAATTAGAGTCGCTTGCTTGAGCTATCTTGTTATGTCTGTGAACGCCTGTTAAAAATGCAGTTAATGTTACTAATGAACTGCCTAATGATGGCTTAGCATCAATAAATCTTATTTATCAGATAACCTACCTTGCAGAAAGGACCTTATGTTAGAATGTGGTAGAAATGAAGGAAGTGGAGAGTTACAGGTTCTGCCTGATGCTCTCAGGACCAAACAGTTTACACCACACTGGTGGGGCTCAGAGGTACCAGCCAGCTGTTAGCTTCCTGTCCATTCTGCAGCTGAGGCAGGTGCTTCCTCTTGCCTCCACCTCTGGGCCCCAGTCCACCTGTGATTGGTCACTGGCTTATGCCTCCACCAGGCTGCATATAAAAAGCTCTATGGCTGGTCAAGGGAAAACTCTCTGCTATTGATTTCTCTACCTAACCATCTGCTTGGCATTTCCATTGAAATCATATGCTGGCACCTCAAACTCAGTACAATGAAAAATTCTCTAAGAGATTGTTTCAGAGCACATGATTAATTAAGAATAAAGGTCAGATATAAACCCAAATTGGTTAGCTCTCTTCCTTATGTTCTTTAGTTACAATGCAGTTAAGGAAAAGTCTGAATTAAAAGAAAAAACAGTAATCTTCTTGAATTGTGTAAGTAATGAACTTGGATCAAGAGGAGAATGAAAACCTCACAGAAATGCAGAAAAAACAATAATACATAAAAAGTAAGGAGAATAAATACATCCAACCTGACTTAAGAAACCATTTTAAATCATTTTTAGGTCTATCTGGGGTTACTTGAAAATACCTATTCACTAAATCTATAGTTATTTATGAATACTTCATAACTATATCATACTCTTGCCCACAGTTATGACTTATTATGTCACTCCCCAGCATGTATTGCTATCATGGGGAAGACTGTATTCCCAGGAGCAATATCACAAGAGATAGCCCCCGAATCTAAGAGTAACAGTAACCCCAAGAAACCAGTAGCCACCTGAATGCTATACAAGTTGTAAATAATAAAAACACTTGGTATCTACCTTTTGCTTCTCAGAAATCTCAAAAGCAAAGCAATGCTGTGCACCACTCTTAGCTTTCTGAAACACTTCTTTCTGTGACTTTTGTGACTCCAGCTCCTCTCATTTTTCTCCTAAGCTTTCTGGACATTCCTTCTCTATCTCCTTTGCCAAGTCATCCTCTTCCACCTTACCCTGAATATAGATAGTCCTCAAATCTGAGTCCTAGGACTCTTCTCTGTCAGTCTGCTCTCTTCAAAGACAATCTTATTCCATCCCTGGCTTCAGTAAATCTCCAGATCCCTGAGACTGCCAATGGGTTACCTACAGACCAGACTTAATTTTGCTGTGAGTATATGTATCAGATCATCTCCCTGACTTCTCTTGGATGTGCCAATGACACCTCACCGAGAATGTGGCAGTGTGGATCTAAGTATTCATATTCATTTTTTAAATTCCTGTCTTTTAAGCTGAACATTTTATTTTGGAAAAAATGGGTATAAAAATAAGAAATATGAGTTCCACACCACATATTTCATAATCGTTGCTTGAAAAAACATTTTTACCTGATTAAGGACCTTCTGCAGGTGTGGGGTCCCCATCCGGTCAGCAATATGTCTGTAAGCCGGGTGTGAGAGAAAGAATTTCCTTTCTGCCAGCATGGCAGCTTTAATGTCCTTCTTCCCATCTATGTCCTTCTGGCTTCTGTTTACCACCCCCACGTAACCTGAAAGAAAACACACACCTATGGGGTTCGGGACACTTTCTGTTATCTGTTCTGGGGAGATTTCAAGACTCTCAAAGTGGCTGAATAAGAAAGGCAAAATCATTTTTAAAACCTAAAGAATGGATCCCTTTACAAAACTCAACTTGGAACATTAGTACTTAACAAAGACTCACTGATTTATCTAGTGATAATATTTTTAGCATTAACACAATAATGTCTTTTGCCCTTAAAAGCTCTGTACATTTTAATACGGTGTATCTCTTAGCATTTTGTTATACAGTGAATAAGTAAGTCAGACTTAAAATAGAGCAGTATATATATACAGATATATATATATATGCAGTCTATGGGGAATATTAATATGCTCCCTTCAAACCCCTTCCTTTTCCTGTTTTCTCATTCCTGTTATTTTAGGAACTAGTTCTCCCTTTGGACCATTGTTAATACATTATTTGGGAACACTCTACCATTCCATAAAAAGTACAATTAATCATAAATCCATTCCTCACAAGTGTGGAGGCATTAAAACCAAGCCTCCCATTGATTCCCCAGTGGCTTCTATGCCACATCATCAAAGGAAGTCCTGTGTAGGACACAGTACATTACCCCTGCGAAGAGGCAGGAGCTTGTTCTCTAAAACATCCCTGGCATCCGTTCCTTCATCCATAAGATCCAGTTTGGTGATGACTCCAATGGTTCTTAGACCTGCATCACAAACAAACCCAACATTACACAGTTTGCAGGAGACTAACAAGTTTCAGAAACATATATGCCTCAATGTTAAGTGTAAAACACTAATATTCCTGGTCCTTTTCCTGTTTTTCCCTGTTGTAGTTCATTTTCCAATCCACTACCCCCCTCTGGTGAATTCCAATGGGATGAGGTGGAGAGTTGCAAAACCACCCACCCAGAAGATTACTTTCACTTCAACAGAGAAAAAAACAACTAGCTGCATCACCAAAATACTTTTAAATACATGAGCTTATTTTTGTAGCATCCATGGAAAGATTTATACATTTAAATTTTCCTCCTAGGTACTGCAAACATACGAATGATTTAAATTTTTTTATGTATTACATTATTAGAAATAAAAAAATAGATTACACACAGACCAATGATGAGAATGTGTCATAAATCAGAGCTTATTATTGACCGAGTCTTGAACACTTGATCAATACATAAAAAGAATAAAATTAGGTATAAGATAGTGTCACCAGAAAAAAATAAACTTGTAAGTCTCACATCATTCAATGTTTCTTAGAAAAGGAAATATGACTTAATAGAAAGAAGACTGAACTAGAAATTCTGAGGCTTGGCTTCTAGTCTCAACACAAACCATTTAACACTGTGTCTTAAATTTCCTCATCTGTAAAACAGAGTTGGAAACCATAACCTCCAAGGTTCCTTTCAGTAATAAAATAATGTAAAAATCTATACATTTTATGAGACACATCAGACACACTGTATTTGTCCTTTGCTTCCTTTGTTAGATAGAATAAACAATATTTGCTTAGTGTAACTTTGAACTTACAGTTAAACATGATTAACTGAACACAAACCTTTATATTCTACCTGAAACCACTCTAAAAGAATAAGGGCTAATATTTATTAAGCCAGCTATGGTTTCATATGCTTTACATGTCTTGAAAAAATCATTTAATCCTGAAAAGTACTACTACCATTTTTTTAAGATGAGGAAAATGAGGCAGAGATTAAATAACTTTCCCAAGTCATACAGAAGGTAAGTCCAACCAGCTTGGTTCCAGGGTGCATGCTTTTAACCAATATACTGCTTTTAATAGAAAGAAGAATTTAAAATATAAAAAAGGCTTAAACCTAGAAGGTCAAAGAAAATGGGATAGGATTGCAAAAAATTTTGAAACTGGAAAACCAGCAAGATGACTGCTAACTAACTTACCAGACCAGAGAAAGAAGAAAATCGAATCTAAGAAAGCCAACAATAGGAGAAGCCCAAAAGCTGAATAATTTATGTCACAGCATCTCAGAAAGGTCCAGGACCTGGGAGACAAATAGCTCTGAAAATAGTGGAGAGCAGTAGTGGCAGCTGAGGCCGAAAACAGGAGCACTGGATGAAAGCAGTCAGAATTCCAGGGATAACATAATTAGTTGCTGCCCTGGCTGAGCCTGGCAGGAGAGTACAGGTATAGTCTATAGAAAGACTGAACTATGGAAAAACTCTGAACTCATGGGCACCTGAGTATTATTTAGGGGTATCAGGTGTTGAAGTGAAATTCTGCTTACTGACTGGCAGGGCTGCCCTTCCACCATCCAGATCCCTAAGTTGACTTCAAAGAAAAGCTGGCTAGCAGACTACACCCCCAAGCAGGAGACTGGAACAACTCTGGGGAAATTACAAGAAGGAAATACAGTTACTGAAATTCAATGGAATTCCAATCAAAACATCCCACTAAATCAACCTAGTGTGATGCCTATCATTCAGTAAGTCAAGGACATCCACATAAAGCTTCCAATCACCTGTTAATATTTCACTGTTAAATATGAATGGATAGGGAGAGAGCTGAAAAAAAGATGGAGGAGTAGGAAGGCAAGGTAGAAACCTCCCGCAACAATACATAAAGGAAGAAACTGCAGTAAATACAACTAAACCTGAAAACGACCTGAGGACTGCAAAACAGACCACCTACACCTGGGAAAGAAGAAAAGACCACGCAGAAAGGGGTAGAGTGGCAGAGCTGCAATCGAGTGGGACCCAAGCCCTCCCCCAACCCCAGCCCACAGATGGGAGGAAGAGGAACAGAGCAGGTAGGGGATGGGCACCCAGGAACTCTGCACACCTGGCCCTAGAGGTCTTCTCCAGAAGCTCAAGTCCACATTACACTGGGTTCTGGTGGTTAGCAGGGCTGGACCCTAGGAACAGTTGGAACACACTGGGAGGCTGAGACACCACTTCCAGAGTACAGGCATGCTCCAGCGGTCCTGCTGAGACCCAAAGTGGAGGCAGCAGTTTGAAAGTCTTGCCAGCAGCCTCAGGAGGGCTGCCAGAGGGACGAGGGTTGGATGAAGCTCTCTCCTCAGGAGACATGGAAGGTGCATGATACCTCCCTCAGCCCAATACCTCCCTCAGCCCAGTGGGTTGGGAACTCTTAGGAGCCCCACATGCTCCATTCTCCCTCACTTGCAATGCAGCCCCAGAGGTGCCTGCCAGCACACACTGTACATAAACCAACCTACTCAGCCCACTGCAGCATCAGATTTTGCTGCTTGGCAGGCAGAGGGAGACTCTCCCAGCTTTCTTGGCCCTGTTCACCCCAACTGGGTGCTGGGGGGGTGCCTGCAGGAGCCAGTCCCAAGAACTCCCTCCTCCCCATAAGTATCCAAGACCCAATACTGCATGACCCGCCCTGCCCCAGAGTTGCATAACAGCCCTGTCCACCACATTAACCCTGAAATTCTGCCATCAGTGCAGGGAAGACAGAGGGTGGCCCCATCCACAATGATCTCAGCAGAGGCTTCTGCTATGATCACAAAGGTGGCTGAAGCAAACAGCCAGCACAGCAGACTCAGACCACTACCAGTAGACAGACAGAAAGGAGGCCATGCCCATTGCATACCAACAGCAACGGGGGCTCCTGTAAAGTAGAACTGGGCACTGGAGAATAAAGACTCTTGAGCTGCTGGGCACCAGAGGATACCTTCTTCATAAAATTATTGCTGTCTAGGCCAGAAAGCACGACAGATACATCCAATAAAAGGAAGAAACAAAGAAACCCTGACAAAATGAGAAGGCAGAGGAATATGTTCCATGCAAATCTACAGGACAGACACCAGACTGAGGGCTAAATGAAATGGAGATCAACAATCTGCTTGATAAATATTTCAAAGTAAAATTCATAAATATGCTCACTGATTTGCAGAAAAGTATTAAAGACCTCAGAGAGAACTTCAACAAAGAGATAGAAGAGCTGAAAAAGAGTCACTCAGAGCTGAAGAATACCATAACTGAAATGAAACATGCAAAGGGGGGAATGAATAACAGATTGCTGCAAATAGAGGAGACGGCCAATGAAATTGAAATTAGAGAGCAAGAGCACAATGAAACCAAGGAACAGAGGGAAAATGGGATCCCTAGGAATGAAAGAATGGTAAGAAAGCTGTGTGAAAAATTCAAACAAAATAATATGCACATAATAGGAGTACCAGAAGGAGAAGAGAGAATCAAAGGGATAGAAAGTTTCTTTGAGGAAATAATTGTTGAAATTTTTCCCAATAAAGGGAAGGAAGTAGACACTTAAGTTATGGAAGTACAGAGAGTCCCTAACAAAAGCACTTCAGGAAGACAACACCAAGACATACAATAATTAAAATGGCAAAGATTAAGGATAATGAGAGAGTGCTGAAAGCAGCCAGAGGGAGATAAAGGAAACCCTACCAGGCTATCAGCACACTTCTCAGTAGAAACCTTACAGGCCAGAAGGGAGTGGCATGAAATATTTAATGTACTGAAACAGAAGGACATTCAAAACAGAATCCTTTACCAAACAAAATTATCATTCAGTTTTGAAGGGGGGATTAAACAATTTCCAGACAAACAAAGGCAACAACCAAACAAGCATCACAAGATACATTAAAGGGACTGCTGTACATGGAAATGTTCCTAAGGCTAAATAGCTTTCACCAGTGGAAATAAACCGATAGTAAATATAGTAGATCAGTTACTTACCAAGCAAGTATGAAATTAAGACAAAATAAAAGAAGCTAAATTATACACAAAATCACTCAAGGGATATACAAGAAGTTCAGATTATGACATCTAATATATAAAGTGTGAAGAAGGAAGAAGAAGAAAAAAGTACTCATAGATTGTGTTTGAAAGAGTAATCAGCAACTTAATATAGACTGTTACATAGTCAGGAATCTCTCCTTGAATCTTGGTAACCACAGAACTGAAGCATGTAATAGATACACAAAAAATAAAAACAGAGAAGTCCAATCACAACACTGACAAAAGCCATCAAATAACAAGAGAAGAGTATAAAAGAGGAAGAAAGGAACAGAGAGACGCTATAAAAACAAACAGAAAACAATAAAGTGGCAGTAAATGCATACCTATCAATAATCACCTGAAATGTAAATGGACTGAATGCACCATTCAAAAGACATAGAGTGGCAGAATGGATAAAGAAACAAGACTCATCTATATGTTGCCTACAAGAGACTCATTTCAAATACAAAGGCATATACAGACTAATAGTGAAGGGATGGAAAAAGATAATTCATGCAAATAATAGGAAGAAAAAAGCAGGAATAGCAGTACTTATATCAGACAAAATTGATTTCAAAACAAAGAAAGTAACAAGAGAGAAAGAAGGACATTTACATAACGATAAAGGAGTCAGACAAGCAAGAGGATATAACCATTATAAATATCTATGCACCCATCATAGGAGCACCTAAATATGTAAAGCAAATACTAACTGAATTAAAATGGGAAATAGATTGTAACAATACATTTTAGGAGACTTTAACACACCACTCAGATAAACAGACAGATTGACCATACAGAAAATAAATAAGGAAACAGAGAAAATGAACAATGCATTGTATCAAATGGACTTAACAGATATCTACAGAACATCCCACCCAAAAGCAGCAGGAAAGACATTTTTCTCACATGTACATGGAATATTCTCCAGAATAGATCACATCCTAGGCCACAAAAATAG